GAACCTGCTGGATTTCACCCCTGCCCTGCTTTAAGAAATATCTTATGGGCTATCGGCTAAACTGAAAGTAAAATAAAATAATCCCATAAGAAAGCAGTGGCATTAAGCGTTGGTCTGATGGTCAACAAGATCGTATGAATCAGTCTATGACTGTGATGGCGAACCTATGGCACACGTGCCACAGGTAGCATGCGGAGCCATATTAGTGGGCACGCCAGCTCAGCTCTGGGGCACATGCGCGCACCGGCCAGCTGATTTTCGGGCCTTCTGGGCCCACCAGAAGTAGGGAAACAGGCTGTTTCCTGCCTCTGGAGGGCCTGGGGGTGGGGTGGGGAAAGCCCGTTTTTTTTTCTTACCTGGCTCCAGATCCTCTCTGTGTATCTGGGAACGGCGAAAACAGCCTTTCCCACTCCCTTGGAGGCCCTACGGAGGCTGAAAGGGCCCATTTCCCCACTCCCGGTGGGACAGGAAGTGACATTTTTTTCCTGTCCCCAGCCTCCAGAGGCTCCTAGAGAGGCTCCTACAGACTCCTAGAGAGGCTCCTACAGACTCCTAGAGAGGTTCTGGAGGCTGGGGACAGCAAAAAATGTCACTTCCTGTCCCACCGGGAGTTGGGAAATGGGCCCTTTCAGCCTCCGTAGGGCCTCCAAGGGAGTGGGAGGCCATTCCCAGATACACAGAGAGGATCTGGAACCAGGTAAGAAAGAAAAACGGACCTACCAGGCCATCTTGTGCCAGGAGCGGTGGGTCCCCCCTCTCCTGGCACGCGATGGCAAAAAGGTTAGCCATCACTGGTCTATGACATCCACAGGAACTGAGCCCAACTCAAAGAAGACTTCCTGCTAAAGAGGCAGTTTGTTAAGGTTAAGGTGCTGGCCAGGAAACCAGGAGACTGTAAATTCTAGTCCTGCCTTAGATATGAACAGACCTAGGATGACACTGGGTCAGTCACTCTCTCTCATCCCAACTCAATTCACAGAGTTGCTGTTGTGGGCATAATAGGCGGGTGAAGGAATATTAGGTAGTTATTTATAAAAAATAATAAAGATGGGATATAAATACTTAAGGTTAAGAGCCCTGGTAGCGCAGCAGACTAAAAGCATGTTATTAACATCAAGCTGCCTGCAATTACCGCAAGTTCAAATCTCACCAGGTCAACTCAGCCTTCCATCCTTTCTAAGGTAGGTAAAATGAGGACCCAGATTGTGGGGGCAATAAACTGACTTTATATAAATATACAAAAGTATGAAGGATATTGCTTAATGCATGTAAGCCGCCCTGAGTCTCCGGAGAAAGGCGGCATAAAAAAAAAAAAAACCCCTAAAAACATGAAAAAAATATTTGGTGGGGGAAATATTCAGCTTTCAGTGGAATTATTACACAACGTGTGAATCAAAGAGCTCCCGACATTGCAAATATCTCAGTCATTAATGACTTTGTATAAAATATACAAAAGTATGAAGGATATTGCTTAACGCATTGTAAGCCACCCTGAGTCTCTGGAGAAGGGCGGCATATAAATCAATTTTTTTAAAAAAAAACTTAAATGAAAATAAATTAAAAGAAGTCAACTGGAAATTCGTCGCTTTCCTGGTTTTGCAAAAAGGTGATTCTTAGCCTCCACGCTTGGGTTACACGCAATATCTGAATCTCGACCTTCTGAATATATCTTGCCAGCCAGAAAATTCTGGTCATGTGAGCCCTCCTAATCCTTAAATCCACTTCGTTTCTGATAAGGAGAGTGAATCAAGGGAGATAGGAACCACCTTTTATTCTAAAGTCCAGATTAAAATGCAAAGGGGGGGGGTGGAGGGGGGGGGGGCAGGAAGGAGCGGGGGGGGGGGTGTTTGCCTTATTTTAAAGAGAGCAGTCGGGTTCGGTGTGGATCGGTCCCAGCCAAAAGGCAGTAGGCAACTTTGAAGAACCAGGATGAGACACTGCCGTGAAAACTTGCCTGTTTAATTAGGAACTGGGTGTATCAGTCGTCTAGGATGACTAATGCTGAATGCATGTAAGGTGCCCTTCAGCTACATATTCCTGAAACAGCTGACCAAACCTTGCAGCTGTATCTTTAAAGGTGCAGTGTATACTTTCAAAAAAAAAAAAATGTTTGTTTTACATTAAAGCTGCAACAAATTTCTCTTTGCTGGAACAATGTTGCAGTTGGACATAGCTGGCATTCCAAGCCATAAAACAAGATAATAATAATAACAATAGTAATAATAATAATAATAATAATAATAATAATAATAATAATAATAATAATAATAATAATTTTATTTCTATACCGCCCTTCTCCCGAAGGACTCAGGGCGGTGTACAGCCTATTTAAAAACACAAGACAAACATCAATTTAAAATTTAAAATTATTAAATAAATTTAATAGATATCCAACTTGGATATCTTGGTAGCCTTGGTAGTACAGTGGTTTAATGCACCCTGTAATTAACACAGCTGCCTGCAATTTCTGCAGGTTCGAATCTCGCCAGGCTCAAGGTTGACTCAGCCTTCCATCCTTTCTAAGGTAGGTGAAATGAGGACCCAGTTTGTGGGGGCAGTAAGCTGACTTTGTATAAATATACAAAAGGATGAAGGCTATTGCTTAACGCATTGTAAGCCGCCCTGAGTCTCCGGAGAAGGGCGGCATATAAATCAAATTTTAAAAAAAAAACTCATTTTTTTTTAGGCTACGGTGGCATGTAAATGCAGCCTCTGTGTCATGTCTGGCTTTATGCACCATGCACCTCGGAAAATGTGGCAGAGTAATCCATGGTGCATTTAAAGCGTGCCTTGCACACGTTGCCCATGGTAAGCCGGTCTCCTTAGCCACCAGGTGAGATCTAAAATGAAACCAGTGTCTCTTTCTGGACCTGTTCCTTTCAAGCAAAGAACAACGCAAGTTTGAAACAAGTTTAGGACTTTCCCCTATTTTAGACCAGGGGTCGGCAACCTGAGGCTCTGGAGCCGCATGTGGCTCTTTCACCCCTCTGCTGCGGCTCCCCGTCACTCAAAATATGCGTCACAACCGCCAATGTGCGACACCCACCGGCACGCGATTTATTTAGCTTTTCAACCCCCGGTAGGCCAAGCATGGATAAATCCAAGAAAAGAAAAGTTTCAGAAGAAAATAGAAGATTTAATTCAACTACATATGCTAGTTTTGTGGCCGCTCAAGAAATAGTCAGGCACGGGAAGGGTTTTGTGGCTCCCGGTGTTTTCTTTTCTGTGGGAAACGGATCCAAATGGCTCTTTTGAGTGTTTAAGGTTGCAGACCCCTGACTTAGACTATCAGGGAAGGCTCGGTTTAGACTTTTGGATGGGGAGGATGGGGATTGTAGTTCAAAATATCTAAATTGGAGCAGAGCGGTGGAGAAAAGGGTGCCATATACCAAACCAGTGTTTCTCAACTTCAGCCTCCTGAAGATGTATGGACTGCAGTTCCCAGAATTCCCATTGCTGGCTTGGGGAATTCTGGGAATTGAAGTCCACACATTTTAGAAAGGCTGCGGCTGAGAAACGCTGTTCAACAACAAATTTATTTCCAAGGGCAAAATGAATACAGGTAGTCCTCGACTTACGACTGCAACTGAGCCCGGAATTTCTGTTGCTCAGTGAGACATTTGTTAAGTGAATTTTGCCCCATTTTCACAACCTTTCTTGCCACGGTTGTTAAGTGAATCACTGCAGTTAATAACATGGTTGTGAAGTGAATCCGGCTTCCCTGTTCACTTTGCTCGTCAGGTCACAACATGGGGACCACTTGACCCCGAGTCACTGCAACTGTCATAAATAGGAGTTCGAATCTCCCCAGGCTCAAGGTTGACTCAGCCTTCCATCCTTTCTAAGGTAGGTAAATTGAGGACCCAGTTTGTGGGGGCAATAAGCTGACTTTGTATAAATATACAAAAAGTATGAAGGCTATTGCTTAACGCATTGTAAGCCGCCCTGAGTCTCCGGAGAAGGGCAGCATATAAATCAAATAAATAAATAAATAAATAAATAAATAAATAAATAAATAAATAAATAAATAAATAAGTAAATAATTTCTAAGGTAGGTAAATTGAGGACCCAGTTTGTGGGGGCAATAAGCTGACTTTGTATAAATATACAAAAAGTATGAAGGCTATTGCTTAGCGCATTGTAAGCCGCCCTGAGTCTCCGGAGAAGGGCGGCATATAAATCAAATTAAAAAAAATAAATAAATAAATAAATAAATAAATAAATAAATAAATAAATAAATAAAGTTAAAATAAATTAAAATAAAATAAAATAAAATAGAATAGAATAATAAAAAAATAAAATTGGTTAATTGGTAAATGAGTTTTAATTGGGCCAAATTTATATATCTTTTAATTGTTTTTAATATTTGTTCTGCATGTTTTTTAATCTGGCTGTACACCGCCCTGAGTCCTCAGGGAGAAGGGCGGTATAGAAATCCAATATAAAATAAAATAAAATAAAATAAAATAAAATAAAATAGAATAATAAAAAAATAAAATGAATGAATGAATAAATAAATAAATAAAATAAATAAATAAGTAAATAAATAAAATAAAATAAATAATAAAATAAAATAAAAAATAAATAAATAAAATGAATGAATGAATGAATAAATAAATAAAATAAATAAATAAGTAAATAAATAAAATAAAATAAAATAATAAAATAAAATAAAAAAATAAATAAATAAAATGAATGAATGAATGAATAAATAAATAAATAAATAATAAAATAAAATAAAATAAAATAAAATAAAATAAAATGGGAGGAGGGGAGGAGAAATCCCCCACAATGGCAGAAGACTCAGAAATGTTGGGAAAGACACGCGAGAGGGGAATCCTAAGCGCACGTACACTTGGTCGGGAGTGGCTGAGGACCCCCGAAAGGCGGCCAAGTCCTTCCCATCCCGGGCAGGGGACGAGCCAGAGGCCGTCGGAGCAGGTGATCCCGCCCGGCAGAGGCGGAGAGCGCCCGCCCTTTGCTCGGCTCGCTGCCCTGGGTGGAAGGCGGGCCCGTCGGAGTTCCCAAAGCTGCCCGGGCGGCGGCGGCGGCAGCGGCGGCTGCAGAATTTCACTGGGGCAGAGAAAAGGGGAAGCGGCGGCCCCGCCAGCCGAGAACCCCGCTTAACCCCGGACTATGGCAGGCGAGCTGGAGGCTACCGAAGCCGGCGGGGGCTGAAGCCAGGACTCCGGGCTCGGCCAGCAGCAGCAGCAGCAGCAGGAGGGGCGAGGCTCCCCCCCCAGCCCACCCCACTCCAGCCCAGCACCGGCATGGCTCGCTGGATCCCCACCAAGCGGGAGAAATATGGCGTGGGTGAGTACCCGGGCGGGGAGAGGGGACCACTCTGAGCTTTCCGGTTTCCCACGTGCAGGATGCGTGTCGGCAGTCCGTCCCTTTGCCCGGAACTTTCCCGTGTAGTCCGCAGATTGTCTGCGGGGCGGATCTCTCTTTCTTTCTTTCTTTCTTTCTTTCTTTCTTTCTTTCTTTCTTTCTTTCTTTCTTTCTTTCTTTCTTTCTTTCTTTCTTTCCTTCCTTCCTTCCTTCCTTCCTTCCTTCCTTCCTTCCCCTTCCTTCCTTCCTTCCTTCCTTCCTTCCTTCCTTCCTTCCTTCCTTCTTGCCTGCTTGCCTGCTTGCCTGCCTGCTTCTTCTTTCTTTCCTTCTTTCTTTCTTCTTTCTTTCTTTCCTTCTTTCTTTCTTTCTTTCTTTCTTTCTTTCTTTCTTGCCTGCCTGCCTTCTTTCTTTCTTTCCTTCTTTCCTTCCTTCCTTCCTTCCTTCCTTCTTTCCTTCTTGCTTGCCTGCTTGCCTGCCTGCCTGCCTTCTTTCTTTCTTTCCTTCTTTCCTTCCTTCCTTCTTTCCTTCCTTCCTTCTTTCCTTCTTGCTTGCCTGCCTGCCTGCCTTCCTTCCTTCCTTCTTTCCTTCTTGCTTTCCTTCTTTCCTTCTTTCCTTCCTTCCTTCCTCCCTCCCTTCCTTCCTTCCTTCCTTCCTTCTCTCTCTCTCTCTCTCTCTCTCTCTCTCTCTCTCTCTGTCTCTCTCTGTCTCTGTCTCTCTCTCTCTTTTTTTCTTCCTCCCATCAGCTCGCTTCTTTCTGTTCCTTTTCTCTCCTCCTTCCTGCTCGGCCTGAGAAGAGCCTTCCCTCCCTCCCTCCCTCCCTCCCTCCCGCTCTGATCTTCGGTCCGCCGGAAGGATTCCGGTTTCGGGTGCGAATCCCAGTCGGTTCGCAGCCGGGGAAAATGGGAAACGAGACCCCACCCTCTGCTTCTTCTTCTTCTTCTTTTTTTTTTCCGGCGGCAGAAAAAAAACACCACTTTTCTCTCCCCTCCTCCTCCTCCTCCTCCTCCTTTCCGCAGCCTCTTTTTTTCCAACTTTGCCAAAGCGCCTTCCAGACGGGCAGGGGCTCACGGTTCCCATTATCCCCAGCCAGCAGGTAGAGAGAGAGAGAGAGATGGGAGTTGGAGGGAGAGTTGGAATCAGCTGTTCACACACCCACCCATCCCTGTCTGGATTAGTTATCCTTTAAGGTTCTTTTTATCTCTTGCATAGCTCAGACAGGGGAATAGATGGTTTTTTTCCATAGAGGAGAGTATTGGTAGCTCAGGGTTAAAATTAGGGGTCCTTGCTGCTCTTTGAACTTGGTTATTTTCTTGCAGACCTTTCATGACCCAACTAAGTAACATCATCAGTGGGTAAGTGGGGTTTGTTGAGGACTGTGGATCCTCAGTGCTCTTTGAGCTTGGCTGTTTTCTTACAGACCTTTCATGACCCAACTAAGTCATATCATGCTAGGGAGGTTTAGGAGGAGGACTGTAGAATCGGTCAGCTTCTGCTTGTCATGTAGTCAGTGCTGGTGGAGTGGGGTTTGTGGAGAGGAGGAGGAGGACTGTAGAATCCTCGGTGCTCTTTGAGCTTGGTTGTTTTCTTACAGACCTTTCATGACCCAACTAAGTAACATCATCAGTGGTGGTAGGGAGTGGGGTTTGTGGAGAGGAGGAGGAGACTGTAGAATCCTCGGTGCTCTTTGAGCTTGGCTGTTTTCTTACAGACCTTTCATGACCCAACTAAGTAACATCATCAGTGCTGGTAGGGAGTGGGGTTTGTGGAGAGGAGGAGGAGGACTGTAGAATCCTCGGTGCTCTTTGAGCTTGGTGTTTTCTTACAGACCTTTCATGACCCAACTAAGTAACATCATCAGTGCTGGTAGGGAGTGGTTTGTGGACTGTGAATCTCGGTGTTTGAGTGGCTGTTTTCTTACAGACCTTTCATGACCCAACTAAGTAACATCATCAGTGGTGGTAGGGTGTGGGGTTTGTGGAGAGGAGGAGGAGGAGGAGGAGGAGGAGGGATCCTTGGTGCTCTCTGAGCTTTGGGGGTTTTCTTGCAGACCCACACTAGGTAATATCATCAGTCTATGAAGCACTATATAAGGTAAATCACATGCAGCCTCCCCGTTTCTATGGTCTGCTTTGCTGTGCATGGATTTTGCTTTTGCAAATAATGATATTATTATACATTGCAACGTATATACTGATGATGTTACCTAGTTGGGCAATGAAAACATCTGCCAAGCAAACAAGCCCAGAGAGCTCAAGGACCCCACAGATCGTTTTGTTTTCCTGCTTGCCCCCCCCCCCACCCCCTGCCCCATGGGACTTTTAGTGCCGGGGAGTTTGGGAGTCACCTTTGGGGCTGCAAAGAAGGAAAACAAAGGCAGCGGGGGTTTGGAATATTGTTTGCCATGGCTTAATTAACCTCCGATGCAGAGGTGGCACAGCCTGATGGGACGCACTGAAAGGCTGTTAGCCTCAGCCATAAATAATCAGTTACATCAGATTAATTAATGGGAGCGCAGAGGTGGGCTGGTTTCTAGGGGGGAGGGAAAGGTTGATGTAAAAGGTTGTGTACTCATACAATGGACCCTTGGCCTTGATGCCATGCACAAGGCCATCTTGCCATCTCAACCAATCCATCAGAATATAAACACTCTGCACGGTCTTTCTCCGTAAGCCATTTTAGCAGAATAACACAGTTGGAAGGGACCTTGGGGGTCTTCTAATCCAACCCCTGCTCAAAGCAGCAAACCCTATACCCGTGATGGCGAACCTATGGCACGTGTGCTGCAGGTGGCATGTGGAGCCATATTGGTGGGCACGTGAGCGTTGCCGTAGCTCAGCTGATTTTTGGGCCTCCTGGGCCCACCGGAAGTCGGCAAATGGGTTGTTTCCGGCCTCCAGAGGGCCCCCTGTGTGGTGGGGAAGGCTGTTTTCACCCTCCCCAGGCTCCTAGAAAGCCTCTGGAGCCTGGGAAGGGCAAAAAATAGGCCTACCGGGCCACCGGGCCATCACATGCCAAAAGCAAGGGGAGCATGTGTGTGTGGGGGGGAGGGGGTCGCGGGGGGAGGGGGGGGGGGGGCAGGGCGCATAGAAATATGAGTCTTTAGTCTTAGTCTTTATTTGATTTATATACCGCCCTACTCCCGAAGGACTCAGGGCGGTGAACAGCCAAACAATAAAATACATAAATAGAAAATTAAAAAAAACATAATAAAACCGAATTAAACAAATTTGGCCCAGACAGATTTAAAACACCCCAATCATTTCAAAACAGATTAAAATTTACGTATTAAAAGAGAAAAAGGGGAAAAAGATAAGGCCAGGCCCGCCTGGTGGAATAAAAAGGTCTTGAGAGCGCGGCGGAAGGTGCGCAGATACAGGATCCTCCGTATCTCCGGGGGGAGCTCATTCCAGATAGTAGGTGCCCCCACAGAGAAGGCTCTCCCCCTGGGGGCCGCCAGTCGACATTGTTTGGCCGACGGCACCCGGAGGAGCCCCTCTCTATGACAGCGTACCGGCCGGTGGGAGGCTATTGGTGGTAGTAGGCGGTCCCGTAAGTAACCAGGTCTTAAGCCATGGAGCGCTCGAAAGGTGGTAACCAAAACCTTGAAGCGCACCCGGAATACCACCGGGAGCCAGTGCAGCTCGTGCAGGAGAGGTGTTACATGGGAACGCCATGTCATTCCCATTACCACCCGCGCGGCCGCACTCTGCGCCAGCTGGAGCCTCCGGGTGCTCCTCAAGGGGAGCCCCACGTAGAGAGCGTTACAATAATCCAGGCGGGAGGTGACAAGGGCATGAGTGACTGTGCGTAAGGAGTCCAGAAAGGGACGCAACTGGCGAATCAGGCGAACCTGATGAAAAATCCTCCCGGTCACGGCCGTCGCATGCGTGGGACCACCCCAGCTTTTGGCACGCGATGGCAAAAAGGTTAGCCATCACTGCCCTATACCATTTCAGACAAACAGTGGCTCAATCTCTTCTTCAAAAACTTCCAGTTTTGGAGCGCCCACAATTTCTGAAGGCAAGCCATTCCACGGATTAACTGCTGCTACTGTCAGCTAAATTCTCCTTAGAACAGTGTTTCTCAACCTTGGAAGCTTGAAGATGGGTGGACTTCAACTCCCAGAATCCCCCAGCCAGCAGCGCTGGCTGGGGGTTTCTGGGAGTTGAAGTCCACCCATCTTCAAGCTACCAAGGTTGAGAAACACTGCCTTAGAAGAATTTTCTCCTTTTTTTCCCCCACCTATCAAGTGTTTTGTATGCAGTTCCCAGATTTAGTCTGGTGAGCCGTAGTTATCTTGTGTTTTTCCCAGAATTCAGGGTCACTCTTAGCCCAAACAAGATCTGGAAACTGCTCCTCCTCCTCCTCTCCGTCACATTTACTTTATTATTTATCTGTCCTTTTCTTCGGACCGTCACATTTACTTTATTATTTATCTGTCCTTTTCTTCGGAGAGCTGGTGGGCAGCAACGCAAGGCAATTAGGCAAAACTGAAGAAGATGTGTGTTTGTCACCTTCTGGTTCTTTCCTCAAATAAAAGATCCTCCTGGGCCTTAGGAGCAGTTTCCAAGCCAGTGGCAGCTACTCATTAATGACTGAGATATTTGCAGTGTCGGGAGCTCTTCGATTCACTCGTTGTGTAATAATTCCATTGAAAGTCATAAATAGGCCTGAAGCTGAATATTTCCCCCACCAAATTTTTTTTCCCCATGTTTTTAGGGTTTTTTTTTTTTTAATTTGATTTATATGCCGCCCTTCTCCGGAGACTCAGGGCGGCTTACAATGTGTTAAGCAATAGCCTTCATACTTTTGTATATTTATACAAAGTCAGTTTATTGCCCCCATAATCTGGGTCCTCAATTTACCTACCTTAGAAAGGACGGAAGGCTGAGTCAACCGTGAGCCTGGTGAGATTTGAACTTGCAGTAATTGCAGGCAGCAGATGTAAGTGGATGTTAATAACAGTGCTTTAGTCTGCTGAG